TCTCTCTCTCTCTCTCTCTCTCTCTCTTTCTCTCTATCAAATTGAGACATTTCAAGGTAATTGGATGTATTTTCACACCATACTTTTAAGTAAAAAAAAAAACAAACAGACAAACATGTTTAAATGCTGAATTGTTTCACTGGAGTAAGAAATGGAAAGCATATACAAAGACCAAAAGATATAACAAGCATTGGGAAATGGTAAAAAAAAAAATAGTTCAAATATGAAGAGAATCAAGGGAGGTGGGAAAGGGAAGGAAGGGCAAGAAAAAGAGATAGAAGAAAAAAATGGAAACAAAGCTTTTGTAAATAAGAAGTGGAAAATGGATTGAAGGGAGGAGAGGGGAATGGGCAAAAAGAAGCCAAGTCTATCATGTACAGCAACAGATTCCCTCCCATCAGTGTTATCATTATGTAGATGTATATACCAGTAAAATAAAAAGGAATTACAGTGTGTCATCTCAGCACTCAGGAGGCTGATGCAGGAAGATCACTGCAAGTTGAAGACCAGCCTGGGCTACAAAGTGAGCTCAAGGCCAACCTGAACCATATAGCAAGACCCTGTCTCAAAAAGACAAAAAAAAAAAAAAAAAAAAAAAGTAATAATATAAATAAAAGGAAAACTCTGGAACAATCTGAAAGAGAGGTGTGTGTGTGTGTGTGTGTGTGTGTGTGTGTGTGTGTGAAAGGGAGAGAGAAAGAGAGCACACATTTGTGTTTTAATAAAAATTAAATCAATTTTTCTGGGTTTTGAAAACACAAGGCTTGCTTTATAACCTCAGTCTACTCTAAAAGCCTACATAGCAGAAGAGCTTTCATAACTGCTATGGGGGTCAGAGAGAATCAGTCAAAACATTTTCTAGATCCTGGGTAAGATGACAAAAACAATTTCAAAGGAGCAGGGCTGGAGGCCACAGTTATAGAACATCCCAAGTCTCCCTGCCTGCATTTGAACCAAGCATGGAGGTGCATGCCTGTGACCCCAGCTCCCACACAGGATGAGGCAGGAGGATTACATGTATGGCCCCAGCCTGGGCAAGTTTCTATTTAGCAGGACCCTTTCTCAAAATAAAAAGTGAAAAGGAGCTGGGGACATAGGTTTATGCCAAAGCACTTGGTTCAGATATGGTGACTCTTTTAGAGCTTTCAATGACAACAAACAGCCTGCAGTGGCACATGGGCCACATGTTTGCAACCCCTTGTTGGGTTTAATTTCTAATATTTATATACATAAAAGCCACTTCCTCAGAGTCTCAGGTAAGACAGGCCAATGTTACCATTTATATGCACTACTTTAAATCCACTGGTGTGTTAATCACAGCAAATTCTTCTTCTGCATTAGTTCCTGAAGTCTACTAAATCCTACTTCATAGCCTTCTCCACACTATTTTATGCACTTTATTACCTTCAAAGAAAAAACTTGGGCTGGTGAGATGGCTCAGTGGTCTAAAGCACCTACTTAGAACAAGCTTAGCAAAGCACAGGGACCACAGTTCAATCCCCCAGCACCACATGCCAGCCAGCCCCGCCCCCTGCTGGGCTGAACTGCACACACACACACACACACACACACACACACACACACACAGAAAAAACTTATTGACTATAATTTATTTTTTTAATTCAACTGGCACCTTTCTCCCATTTATAATCATTTCTATCTCTAGTTAAGATATGGTAGTTACATAACAGGTGATAGAAATACACATACATATCAATATATAAGTTTTGCATATATAAAATGACCCTCCATACCTATTGTCCCAAAGAACAACAATTCAAAAAACAAAACTAAACAAGACACTAAGCTTACTGTTAGCAGTGCAAACTCGATGTGAGATACATCAGAAGGGACAAGCCTGTCCCACTGGTGTCACCTGCCATGAAGGCCACTCCTCCTAGCCTGTGGGCTCATGAAATACTGCCTAACAGGTTTCATGGCTTTGTTCATCCTGCTCAGCGTACACAGAGCTAATATGACAAAGCATTACCAACACTCAATGAACTATTTTAGAAAGCTATTTCAAAATCACATGCATCTGAGGAGGACTGAAATGGTGATTTGCATATATGTTTATGCCCACCTGATGGGAATCCCATTGCCATGTCTGACCCTGGAGTTAGTCATGTTTTGCTTCCAGAACAGGCCATGTGCAGAAAGAAGCTCCAAGAGCGCAGGTAAAGGTCACAGGACTGCAATGCATTGTGGGCCAATGACCTCTGTGACCTCTCACCAACTGCCACACTGGCTGTGCCCGGGAAAGGCATGAAGAGCAGGGGTCAGACTGAGGAAGGAAGCGCAGCTGTGTGGCTTCATCCTGAGGGATGGAGAATCCCTCTCCAATTACAGATGTCTGGTGTTCCTGGATATCGTTATCTTAGCCACTATGACTGCAAATGTTATTAGCAATTAAAATGCACACTGAATTACTGGCCCTTTCTAAACCTCATCAGATCATTTATCTTCCTGATTCTCATGGCAACAAGTTCTGATGGAAAATCCACATTTGTCTCAGTCATGCTTCTATGAGAGGATTACAGCCAATTAGTTTGTCTATGGGGAGGGGGAATGGCCTCATCCTACACCCGCAGAGTTAAAATGTGCAGAAAATGACCCCACTAGTTCCCTATTGCATCACAAATTGCCAAATAGCAACAGTGCATTTCCAAAGCAATGAACTTACTTTCAGTGCAAATCGGGCAGCATCCTTTTCTGTTGAGGATTTTACCCTAATCAGGAGAAAAACAAATACAGAATTAATGCTAAAAACAGGGTCTGCTGAGGAACACAAAGCTCTTTTTTCATATCTAATACCAGAAAAACCAAAGTAATCAGGCCAAGCTGTGTTTGAACTCAGCATCCAGAAGGTGACAATGATGGTAGAGTCAGGCCTCAGGTATGGGGGTTTGAAGCCAGGTCTGGGCATTGTGAAGCCCTTCCTGTTTCCATCCTTGGAGAAGTGTGAGGCTGTAGGCCTTGCAGGGGTCAGGCATCAGTTCTCTCACAGATATGCTGACCATGCTGAGCATGCACAGCTGCCACTGCCTGCCACCTCACAAGCCCAGCAGGGCCTTCCTCCTCTGCTTTGGAAGGACCCCCAAACAGTGAACTGCAACTGCATATTAAGGCTCATGCATCCTGCAGACATGAGTGTCCTGATGATCAATCTTGATCAGAGTCCTGCTCGCAGAAAGTAGTGTCTCACCTGTGTCAAGACACCGGGATGCAAATAGGACTGGGCCAAGAGGGCCGAGTGCTTGGAAACAGTAAGTGATTTCCATTATTTTCTGGAAGTTTGCTCCAATTTTCCCTCATTGTGCATCTTTTCATATTTTTACTGCATGAAATTTAGAAGAGTGAGCACATTCTCAGGGCCTAGAGGACAGCTCTGTCTCACCTCTGACTCAGAGGTTAATCACATGGAAATGCAATGTGGAAGGAGATCAGCATGCGTGGAGCACCTTCTCTGTCATGGATGTCCTGTAGACGTCTCATGTGCATTTGTTCTACAGGTGTGAGGGCTAATGGATGTCAGGATTATTGCAAGCATTGTTATTAAGAAGCAGAAGAACCACACAAGCTGAGCATTTTCCCTCTTGTAGATGATAAATTGATGTCATATAACAGTGGAAGTAGAAGCTAGAGTTAAACCTGACTTTGTTTCACCCTCAAGCCTGTGTTCTTCACACTGTCCAGTGCCATCCTCCAGTTCTTTACCTTAAGAGAATTTAATATTGACATTCTACTCTGCATTACGCACTCCTCACACTGTAACTCATTTAAATACCACCACCCTCTAGATGAGTGGCTGTGTCCTGTTAGGGATTCAGGAAAGAGGCCCTGTGACATGGACACACAGGTCAGAAACTGCTCATTAACTGAAGACAGTTGCATCAGAACAGGTATAGGTATTTAAAAATGAACAATTATATTAACATTAAAAAGGCTGGTTAATGATTACAGAACCAGAATTGGCTCTCATACTATTTTCTTGCATCAGCTGGGCCACATTAAAAGCTACCAAAACTTTGAATGAGACTTCAAACTCAGTCCTACAGGGGCTAGGGAAATGGCTCAGGGGCATAAGTGCCTGTCTGGCAAGGGCAAGGTCCTGAGTTTGATCCCTGGTGCTAGAAAGAAAAAGAAAATTTAAAAAGGATAATTAAATACCACCATTAAAAAATGCAGGGAAAACTAGTTTTATAAAATCTGGGCTGGGGATATAGCTCAGCGCCATAAGCACCTGCCTGACAAGTGCAAGGTCCTGAGTTCAATCCCTGGTATCGGGAAAGAAAAAGCCCTCGGCCCCAAGCAGCCATGCCACGGTTTGGGGGCATCGGGACACCTTCTCATTTCCCACAGCTCTGCTAACTGTTTCTGTCTGGCATGGAGCCTCCTTTAATTTGTCATAACTGGAAGCAGCTGAGGACAAAGCCAACTGAGTCAGGATGATGAAGCAAGCCTTTCTATGCCCATGTGGCAGAGAGGTTTCATGCAAAGTCTGGAACCCAGTGTGGCTCGATCCCCTATGTCTACATGGAGGCAGAAACTGACCTCTTCCTTCTCGGAGAAGGAAGGTGGAGTGGGTCAGGTCACAAGATCAGGCGGGAAGTAAACCAAGAGCAAGGTGGGAAGCCCAAGAGTCCAGCTCACATAAGGTCCAGACACCTCGCAGCCCTGTGTGCAAGGAGGAGCGCTCACAGCGCCCACCTCAGGAGGCCTCAGAGTTGAGTGCGATCCATCCCGGGACCACAGCAAAGCCTTGTACACATCAGTGGTGCTGAGAGGACAGTGTTGTGACGACCTGACCCCATCCCCACGGGAACCCTGGCAGCCCTGCTCCCAGGCCACACTTTGTCCCTGTGGAGTTGCCAGTGGGGACAGGCAGGGAACCCCACATTAAATCCTTCTGCAGCAGCGCGCATGGACTTCTGGAAAAGAGCTGCTTGGCAGGCAAGAAAGGCAGAGCAGGAAACACAGATGCTCCTCAAGTCCTTTTAGCTTTTCAACTCCCTGAGGTGATGTTAGGGAGGCAAGGTGAGTGCAAAAGACTCCCGCGTGGAGTTGATCGCACTCAACTCTGAGACCTCCTGAGGTGGGTGCTGTGAGTGCTCCTCCTTGCACACAGGGCTGCGGGGTGTCTAGACCTTATGTGAGCTGGACTCTCAGGCTTCCCACACAAAAGACTCCTGCGCGGGCTAAGCTGCCTCTATATTCCTCCTGCCCACCTCTGGGAAGGGAAGAGGGAAGGGGAGGACCCACTGGAAAGACAGGTGGGATCAGGCAGTCAGTCCCTGTAGCTGCAGCCTGCTTGGAATGCTGACAAGTTTGGCAAGGTGCAGAGGAAAGGGCTCAGCAGGAAGTTCAACTGTCTAGGAACAAGGACCATTCATGAGATGCTAGAAACAAAAAGAACATTGTGTTCTGTCATGGCTTGTGTCTAGATGCCCCCCGAAAGCTTTATGTGGTCATAGGTGGGGCTTTTCAGAGGTGGCTTTATCTAGTGTGTGAAGCTAGAATTAATTCATAATGCGATGCTAGGCTCAAGAGCAAGGATTGGGCTGATGAGATAGCTCAGTGGACGACAGCTCCTGTTTAGACAAACTTAGGCAAGTGCAGGGACTGTGGTTCAATCCCTAGCACCACATGCTGTGCCAGCCCCATCCCTAGGGTGGGCTGAGCCAGCCACAAAATAAAAAAAAAAGAGCAAGGATTAAGGGTGCGAGTGCTGCACTGCCCTGGGGCAGGTAGCCTGCACATGAACTGTCTTCTCTCTGCCATGAACTTATCTCCTCTGCGAAGCCATGCACTCTTGAAGCCAGCCAACTACAGACTGAAACATCTAGAAACTGTGTGCTAAATAAACCTTTTCCCCTCTAAGTTTGGGGGGCAATATTTTGTCTCAGCAATGAGGGAAAAGTAACAAAGATCCTCCCTGCGGCAAGAAGTCAATGACAACTGTTGACCTTGCTCCAAGCAGAGCTGGAGGCCACACTAGGAGTTGAGCTGATTGAGCCACTGGGTTGGCACAGCCCCTATTTTTGTCTTGCAGGAAGAGAAAGCCAAGCTCACTAGTATATGTTGAAAGACTCATCACAGGAAGGGTCCCTGAGGTTGGCATAAATGATATGAACCCTTTTCCTAATGAATAGTTATGAGCAGTCCCTACTCAAGTCTACTTATGGCATCTCCTCTCTTTTTATAGGAGGTTTTCCGTTTTCTGTCAGGCCTTCTAAGCAAGACTAGGGTTTTCTCCTCCTCTCCCCTCCTTATGCAGTTGTTCAAGGGCAGTGCTGTTTTTCCCCTATACCTCCTTTGGTACTCAAGTAATAAAAGCAACTTTTGTTTATCATAATACCAGATGTGAATGAAATTAAAAGCTGTCTATAACAGAAAATGGAGAACAAGTCCTTAATGTATGGAAATACATGTCCTTTATTCAGCATACTGGACTATGGGTTTTGCAAAGAGATGGATCCAGAAGGATACTTTTCCCCTGGGGCCAAGGTGGTCAGAGAACTGGGCAAAGGCCCCTGGCTGTGGCTCAGCAGGAGAAACTTCTTGGGGAATTTGTTAGCTCTGTCGATGAGAAGAAAGCTGCAATTTGAGAAGGGAGAGTAGGAAAAGGTGAAAGATGGTTAGGAAGTTAAACAGAAAATGTAGCAAAAGAGAGCAGGGCAGCAGCCTAAGCAGAGTGGGAGGGGTGCTGTAAGAGGACGTGGAAGAAGCCAGTAAGAAGCGCAGGAGCCGGGCCAAGAGCTGGCCGGAGGTGTTCACACAGGGAGACTGGGTGGAAGGAGGAAGCTATGTGGGGACCTGGCTCCCCGGGAAGGTGAAGGCTTTGCCATATCTGGCTTCTGCGTTCACAAGACGCTTATACAGGTGCTTCCCAAGGCGCTAAGGGAAAGGGAAAGTGGACCAGTGTCCAGCATACCTGCGGGCAGCTGCTGATGGACACACACTGCTTCCTGCGACACTCCGTCCTGCCGGTCACACAGGCACAGATGGTGCAGTTGGCTGAGGACCACACCTCACCCTCCTGTGGGACAGACAGAGCACAGGGTTCTGTGGGAGCTGGGCCTGTGGGTGGGGCAGCTATATTAGGAAGGTGAGGACTCTCCTCACCTGACTCAGGGATGGCATCTTTAGATGTAATGTTCCCCAATTTTTATCTGTACAAGGTTTTTGATCTCAATATAGGGTGAATGTTTAAATTCTAAAGATTATAATAAAAGAAAGATTTTCATGAATTCCTCTCAAAATGCTACCTCTTCAATTCTGGGGGTACCCCATCATTACCCCATCATTGTCCCATCATTCCTCCAAGTTTCTGAAGCAGTTCTGAGAAACCTCTTTCCCTAGTGTCTTTTGGAGGTGTGATGAAAAATGCACAATAGTACAGCGAGTGCTGCGGCTTAGTGCCATCCAGTGGAAAGGCAGGCTCGCACAAAACGATCTGTCCTCGTCCACCTCAGTCACTGCACTGTCACCATGTAACCTTGGCTCTTCCCCAAAATCAAGATGACCATGAAAGGTCGATGTTCTGAGTGGATTTAGCACATAGAGGTAGAGACAACAGCAAAGCTAAAGACACTGACAAAAGAGGATTTCCAGGACTGCGTCAGAAAGGAATAAGGATGGTTGAATGAGTGTACTCAAAGCAAGGAAAATATTATAAAAGGGATTCCAGGGAATGTGTCTTTTACTACAAAAATTTTTCTTAAAACACTTATTGTATTTCTTAGGGCTGGTGAGATGGCTCAGTGGTCTAAAGCACCTACTTAGAACAAGCTTAGCAAAGCACAGGGACTGCGGTTCAATCCCCCAGCACCACATGCCAGCCAGCCCCGCCCCCTGGTGGGCTGAGCTGGCCACACACACACACACACACACACACACACACACACACACAAATAAATTTTAAAAAAGGCAATGAATTAAAAAAACCACTTATTGTATTTCTTAATCATACCTCATAATACCAAAGATGAGAGGAAATTTCAGAGTGGGTCTGTGCACTCTCCCTCCAAGATAGATGACAGAAAAGCATTCCCCTGTGTCTAAGCAAGCCATATTTGCATTTTTGTCCAGATACATTGTATGACAGCAAATATAAATTTTTATAAGTGATACATTAACAGTGTTCTAATTTCCTTCTGTTTAATAGGACTGAAACCATTGTTATCAAAGGTAGCAGCAGCTGGGATAGCCAGAGGCAGCTACTTTGATGCCAGATAAGCCACAGTTCTGGACTCGAAAAGGGGGCACATGACAGTACAGAGCATAGACAGAAGATGCCACTAGCCCCACACAGCTTGTCACTGCCAGGCTGGCACCCTCCCCCCTCAAAGCACAGTAGCACTTGGATATACATTTCCTTGCTCATAGAGAAAGTATCACTTGAAGATTTTCTTTGGCTCCATTGGATTTATGATAGGCAATTGCCCAGTGTCCAGCCAGGACAGAACAGAAGATCACAGGCCTAAAGCAATGAAGAATCCTTCCTTGGCTTGTGGGTCCAGAGGCACAAGTCTCCATCTTTGTTGCTGCCTCCTGTTCTTTACTTTTGAAGCTATTTTAAGGACCGCCCACCCTCTGGTGCCTTTGAGATGTGAAAGACCTTGACTCAACCGCACCTAAAGGACACCTTTCTGCAGACTCAGTGAAATAACTCTGTCAGATAGCCAGTCCTGTGGATAACCCAGTACTATTATGGCCTACTGGACTATATTGGATTGCTTTGCTGAATTCATACACCTACAATATTTGAATGGCAATAGAATACCCACCT